GTTTTCATGCTTTTATTTCGGTTTTTTTTCCTGCTCTGCTCCACCTCTCCTTCCCCAGCTTTACCACGGTTTCAATCATTCCCCAGTCTTCAGCCTTATATACCACCTCCTTTCCCTCAGTCACTCGCTGGTCCATTAACATTACTCCTGATGTTTACTCTGTTCTCGATCCCTTACTAGTCTGCTTAGTTGCTCTCGCCACGTTCAGATGGCCCAAGTAACATTTTTGCTCCTGTTAGGTATTTTTAGTCAGATAGATATTTATGTATTAGAAATGTTTAGTGGAGATAGGATGTCTAGTTAGTTACCTGTGATCCTTTGAATAAATCAGCACTGTTTTGAAGTTACTTGGACTGTCTCGTCTCTCAGAGTTAGCAATGGTAAGAAGAACCAAAGAGTCTAACACTCCTGAAGTTCTCTCATTCCCACGACAGCCAGCACCTCGCCTGAAACCTCTGCACTCGCCTGACCTGCTCTTTAACGCCAAGTCCACTCCTGATCTGTGACTATACTCACCTATGGTCCACGCCGCTGCCTGGCTAGTTCCTGTACCTCTCCCTCAGCTACCTGTTCTCCTCAATGGCGAGTGAGACCTCATCTCATCTGTGACTGACTTCACCTGTGCACCACGATGCTGTAGGACCAGCACCTGCGCCTTTCACTCAGCTACCTGTCCCCCTTTATTATGATTTACCCGTTTGCCTCATCGCTGATCCAGTCACCTCCTGACCTGTGACCACCTCTCACCTGGGTTCCTTACCTCCACCTGGATACGCCAGCTACAGCAGCGTGTCCATGCAGCTTCCCTTATGCTGGTGATGCCGATCTAACCGCCTCCAGGCCTGCAACCACCACTCACCTGGGTATCTTACTTCTGCCTGGGGTACACCTGCCTACCTCATCCCCAGCTCCACTCTGCCTGCCTGCCTGCCTCAACCCCACGTCTAGCACCAAGACAACCGGTGGCACCACAGCTACATGGTTTAATGAAGACTTTCTAAACCTCAGCCTAGTCCGGGTCTGCATATTGTGTCCAAGTCCAGAGTGAATCCTGACAATAGGAATTTTGGTCTAGAGACCTTCGGAACAACATTGTAAATACTTACATCTCATTAGCCTGTCAGTGTGGTGTGGGATAGGTGCAGTATTTTCTTTTTATTCATGAGCTGGTAGTGGGGAAGTGCTTATACATTTTTAAAGATATAATCTATAGAGCACAGAAGATGGGACAATACCTGCAGATGTAAATCTTCAGAGGATTGGTGCAGCCTGAGGAGAGAAACTGGCCAAATGAACAGTCAGCTCTTCTTCAGACAAGCTTTCTGCACCTTGGTGAAACTGCTCAGAGCTGCCTGAACCAATATTTTTGTATTAGTAGTGCTATGATAAACCCACAGAGAAATATCACCTGCATTTCCCTCAGCTCAGTGCAGAATTTTAGTATCTTTTAGCTCATTGTTTTGCTTTTCTGGGCCACAAAAAGCTTTAAAAACGGTGTTTGCTACCTGTACTGCACCAAATGTCAGGCATGACTGTTTGCTAACACGGTAGCCATATCAACTTTATAAGATCATAATACATTATCCCTCTACATCCTGCATTTGCCAAACAATAGATTGAGTGTTTAGGTGAATTAGTTAACTTCTCCTGTCATTATCTTGTTTTACTTTACTCTTTGCTTGTTTTTATCAACACAATAGCAGCAGCCAATTAGCAGCACAAAATTTTCCTTATCTCTTGAACTTAGTCTGTGAAATGAGTGGCCTTTCTAAGTTCTTTCTAATCAGTTTTAAAATATTGTTCACTGACTGTGAATTGCAGCAAAGGCTTATCTTTTATGCCATATTGCCTGCTCTGCCTTCATCACAAACACGAGTTCTTTGCTTGTTATTTCTTTACTCGGTTGTCAATTTTCCAGCTGAAAGACCATCAAGCTTGACAAAAGCGGTACAAATATTTCGGTAGGAACAGCTGTGATGTTAAGCAGCTATCATGTGCTCTTTTGTGCTTTGTCTCCTCTTTGTCATGTGACCTGGAAAGATTCCGCCACCCTCAGTAACTAGATCACACACAGGAGCATTTAGCGACAGTCAAAGTGGCGTCTTTTTTCACTGAAATTAGCTGAACTGTTCTGTGGAGGCCTAGTTTAGCATTCAGCTCATGAAACTAATGAATAGAAGTGTTTTCAGCCAGATTATCATCTGCTTTCTCTTCTTCTTTTTTTTTTGTTTTTACTCAACATCTCGTGATATGTTTGATTGAGCAACACACTGTATGTAAAGTTGTAGATGAGATGCCAGCTTTATTTCTAACAGTCTGAGGAGAACTGAAACCGTCAGCATCAGGCTCGAGGCACTCCATCCCTCTGGCCCAAACTGCTCCAGAAATAGGGCCTGTTTATGTAAGAGGATCCATCACAGAGATGCAACCATCTACATCCTCCCCTCCCTTTCTTTTCCCAGGGAGACTCTGGTGGTCTGTTGGGTCTTTGAAGTGAAGAGAAGTGTCTCTTACATGATTACAGAGTCTGTTTAACTTCTTTAGTGATGTAGGAAGCATGATGTCTGTAGTTATCCCTTATGGTTTTGCATTTAGAATAGGAATTTCTCCTCAAATGTAGAGTCAGTGAGCTTTTCAGGTTGTTGCATCCTTACTTATCAGTGATTAAATGTATTCATATTTTTAGCTAAAAAGGGTCATTATTGTTTTTGTTTTTTTTAATTTTGATTTAGGAGTAAGATGACATTTGGGGTAAATCTGTGTGTTTGTGTCATAGCTGTAAAACAGGATTTTAGGTTTTATTTCAGTTGAATTGTTGGGTTAGGATTCTGTTCTGTATTTATTTGAGGAACTTCACATTCACACAGATGTGTTTCCTGTTTGATTTGGAAGTTCCTGTTTGTCCCTCACTGGAGGATATTTATTATGGAACCATTTTGCAGCCATCAGTTGCTCGCTATATCCGGACATGTCCAGTCTAAATTCTGAAACTGTGGTTTAATTCAAATGTTTGTGTTTTGGAAGAATTATCATAAATAAATTGTGTTTTGATAGCTTTGATGTGATATTGCTGCTGGCTGACTCTAAAAAGCTGTGCAGTGAGGAGTGATGGATATTTGACAGAGAGAGGGTTGTTGTAATTGTGTGTCAAGCAAGCTTTAAAGGCTTCTCCCTTAGGAGTGAAGTGATGTGCTGTGCACTATACTGAGGCTTTCTAATGATGGAAATCAACATCTGCATACAGCGGTGCAGGTGTGTCATGTTATTTGAAAACTAACAGTAGGACAAGCCTGCGTCACACCCAGAGCTGTGACTAACATCAGAAGCTATTAGTTGGAGAAGGTGGTGGTGCAGTGTAGAAGTGATGCTGCTGTCTCAGGTTGTTCAGATGGAGCTGGAGAGCAGATGATGGTAGGAAAGGTGTGAGGAAGATGGCTGAGCTCATCATCATGTGTTGGTGCCATCCAGGGGGTGTCTCTCAGGTGTCATGCTGACTTCTTCCTGTAGAGTGGCACTTTGAAGGAAAGGTTGTCGGCATGTCACACAAATGAATGGCATCCTCGGGGCCTTGGAAACAAATCCCTGCACCTTATCATTGCAGTAAAATACAACGTCACGTATCTGCCAGTTTATATGTATATCTACTTCTTTATTTCTCATTTTTGCTTTCTTTTTCATTTCGTGTCATCTTTTATGAACCATTCACAGTCAGTGAACACATCAGCAGTGCTCCTCAGTTTGCTTATCTTGGGCCTCATGCTTTCAGATTGCCAATGTTTGTCTGTCTGCCAGAAAGCCAGGCCCTGAGGTGTTGAAAGTGAAAATTAGAGAAGCATTTAGTCACTTCACGGGCGCTGCGAATTAACCTCACCTCTGCCTGCCCGCATCACCTCTCCACCTGCTGTTTTGAGTTTCCACACTAACACCGTCAGTCACACATGGTGCTAAGGTCATAACAGTAGTCACACATAGCAAATATGGCTTGTTATAAACATTTAGAAACTCGAGCTGTTTCTCTTTAAAGTGGTAATTTTGAGAGGATATATCTTTTTGGTGAATGAATTACCCTTCAATTCTGTGGCTGTGGGCGTGGTTACTTTACGCTTGCACTTAGCTGTGTGCTTGTGTGTGACTTTTCATTAGCTTTTTACCCAGCGACTCTCCAGCTGGCGATACACTTACCGATCAAACACTTGCGTTTTTAACACTGTTTCATTACTCACTGCATCACACACACCCTGCCGGGCGGATGCTTCCGTGTGTCTCCTGATGCACTGTATTGATGCCACAACACCACAGTAAAGACCCAGAGGGAAAGGCGGAATTTACCAGGGTTGAGGTTTAGGTTTAAGTCTTGTTTATAGCTTTCAAAAATGGCAACCCACCGTTTCCTCAGTATGCACAAGCTGTCAGATTCCTCCGGCAGCACTGTGTTATTCCTGACGTGGTGACTGCTGAAAGGTGTGGCTGCCCAGTGGCCCCTCAGCTAACCAGATAATTACACCACAACTCAGACTCACTGGTTTGAATTTGACCCCCATCACATTGCAACTATTCTGGTTGACAGTAACACTGTATGAAGCAACAGTGCAGTGAAGCATCAGTATGATCCAATATCATTTAAAGAACTGAATCCTTTCCTAGTCATTTCAGTTTCATTATAGCTTTCATTGCTCAACTTTGTTTCCATAAAGGACTTTGTTCATTGTTCTTTTTAAAAATGTCAAACATGATCTACTGGGCTTCTGTGACAAAGAATGGAGTTAAAACATTGCCATTATAGGTCCAGTGAAGTTGTAATAACATTGATTGACAGTGTAGATATTTTTTTTCCTGGTGAATCTTCTTACCGAGCATGTGGCCTAAATAAAGAAGTGGATGTGCACACAACTACCTTTGTATCATGCTTCAGCTTTTTAAGAACGACAGATGGATCCATGCACTAGCTCTCGATATCTGTCTGCATATCTAACAGTGTTTTTCCTGATTCCTTCCTCCAGTGAACAGAGTATCTGCCAGGCGCGGGCCTCTGTGATGGTCTACGATGATGCCAGCAAGAAGTGGGTGCCCATCAAGCCTGGGCAGCAGGGCTTCAGCCGCATCAACATCTACCACAACACTGCCAACAACACCTTCAGAGTGGTGGGCGTCAAACTGCAGGACCAGCAGGTGAGAGATGTGAGGACATCCTCGGCATCACAGGAGAAAGCACTTTCTCATACAATGACATCAGAGATCTGGAGATCCACCACAACACACGGTAGTCCTCAGATAATTTCCTCAGATATATGTTCACAGATCACAAATCTGTGATGCTTAGTGGATTTCAGGACTGATGAAGCACTATTGTAGTTTACTGTTTGTACTACCCTTCCTTCAAACCATCAGCTTGTCTGCTCCTCTTCAGTAGATGATTTCCTACATTTCCCATAATGATTTCAACATGTTCTGAAGTTGTATTCTAATTCATCTCTTTTTAGGAATTAGTCAGTGCAGAAATGTGCATCTTCTCATCTCATATAACGGATTTAGTCTAATATGTTTGCCAAATATACAACAAGTTTTGATTTGGCAGCAAAATCCTAATTGTTTTTTTTTTTCATTCTTGCTGTCAAAGATGACTTTCTCATTTATGCACAAGAAAAGGAAAACTCAAAAATCCAAAATGGACCCAACATACTGTTTTGAAGAGAGGCAAACAGTGTTTAAGTACCCTATCTAGCAAGAATTTGTCCTCACATAAATACACTAGGCCACATGTGCTGTTTTTATTGGCGTCCTTGGGAACACACTTACTGTAGAGGTTAGAAAATCGTACAGTGAAGCAGAGGGACTTTGGAATCAAGTCTCCAAACAGGTGGTAAAATGTGGGTTACAATATGAGTAAGAATCTCCTTCCACTCCCCCAACAACTGTTGGAAGCACACTGAGTAAAATACTTCACTCAGCAGCTGTCAATACTTGTCTTCCCCTTAATTCGCAGCTCCATTTTCCTTCCTTGCTTGTAGGTGGTGATCAACTACTCCATAGTGAAAGGCCTGAAATACAATCAGGCCACCCCGACCTTCCATCAGTGGCGTGATGCTCGGCAGGTCTATGGGCTGAATTTTGCCAGTAAGGAGGAGGCCACCACCTTCTCCAACGCCATGCTATTCGCCCTCAATGTCCTCAGCTCACCTGACAGTGGAGGTAAAGATTTATGATATGTGGAATAAATGCCCTGTTTTGCCCACTATGTGATCATTCCTGTTAAATATTTCATCCCCATGGAGAATGAAGCATTGACTTCATGTTGAAACCTGCTGATGTTTTTCAGTGGAACTTTAAAATGGATTTCAGGTCAAATTACAACCAACTGTCTTCAGTCATCATCTGTGGTCAATTTAAATCAATTTTTTCTGTCAGAAGAATGTCAAATAACCACTATCAAATAATCCCCATAGTTTTGACTATGTAGGCATCTCTTTTACTAGTTTCTCATCAAACCCTGCTCCATTAAACAGGAAGTACATTGTATATAGAGTATAAGCATGTTGAATATGATTGAAAAGACAACACTGAAGCATACTCAACTGAGCTGTACTACCCTCTGCTGGTTAATACCATGTACTGCAGCTACACTCTTCACACTAAACCAGACAGGAAATGTGTTGCATTGTATTCACTTAATTGCAGTTACGTGGTAGGCGTGTGAATGAGGATATTTATCTGTTTAAAGCATTATTGTTGCATTACTTTTCAGAGCTGTTCAAAGTTAAACATAATTATATAGTAGGGAAGCAGCATTATTAGAGAGATTTGCAGATTTGCTGTTTTTATGGTTCTACTTGGACATTGAATTAATTCAGCTGGAGCACTGAGCTGTATTTGAAGTCTAGCTCATACCTACTCTTAGTTTTCTAAATAGCTTCTGACCAGCTCGGGTTACAAGCTACTTATAAGTCGTCTGTGTGTCTGTGTATGTTTAACTGTGCTGTCATCCCATCCCATCCTTGTGACTGACTGTTGGTGGCTAAAATATCCCATATGGAGCCTTAATGTCATCCCCCACTATGCTCACATGGCAGTCCTCCTTTTTTTGGCTGTGTTTGGACGTGGGGTCATGGACCTTGTTATGTCCATCGGAAACACTTTCTTATTTATCTGTCACGTTGCTTATACTATTTATTGTTAAAAGAAGTCTTATTTATTCTCTGGTATAGTATTGTACTGGTCATACTATGTTGACTCCAGAGATTTCACCTGGTGTCTTCAGATGGGTTTCTTCAGCCATCATCATCCTCAGTAAGTGCTGTGCTGAAGAGAAGCGAGTCCACTAGGCATGCATGTTTTCCATGGTAACAGACTGCTTGGCAAATAGCGGGGAGTTGAGCTTCAGCCATTTCATTTATGGAAAAATGAAAAAGAGACGCTGTATATGCTGGAGCTGAACACTTTGCTCTCCGTCTGTGACGAAGCCCTGCTTATCTGGAAATTACAGTGTAAACATTAAAGGGCTGAAATGATTTAGTTGATTAGTTACTGGAAAGAAAAATCATAAGCAACCATTTTGAGAATGGAATAATTATTTAGGTAATTTTTCAAGTAAAAATAGTGGAAAGAAATAATATAATATACATTATGTTCACTGGTTGGAGCTGGACAATAAGAAGATTTTTGCTTTCCTCATATTTTGTTGTGAACTGAATACTGTTGCATTCTGGACTTGTGGTTAAACAAAACAACACATTTGGATGTCACCTTAGGCTGTGTGAGGTTTGATGGGTATAAAATACGATAATAAGATTAACTGATGATGAAAATAATCATTTATTGAAACCTTCGAACATTAAGTCACTTTTTTCTCCGACCTGCCTCAGCAAACTGAGCTAGAGAACAATATAGGGCAGGCAGAGATTTTTAATATTTGAATACCTGCTGTACATTTAAAAGGGAAATTTGGTTTTATCTACTATATTAAAAAAGATAAATAGTGGATTCTGATGAAGATTAAGGATTTTTTGCATAAGTTTGCCAGGACAGAAGAATGAGAGCCTGATAAATTGTTTGTAGAAATCAAAAACCTGTCTGTTCAGACTGGAAGATTAGAACCAAAATGTGATGAATTAATTACATTTTCTATTACAGTAATTATCATCAGTGATTTTGAGAAAACTAAGGTGGTTATTCAGAAGAGTACAGAATAAAAGTCAGAGAAGATTTTGGGATATGTCCGATTCAAGTGAAGGTGAAGAGATATTTCTGTCTATTAGTGAAAGAATGACACAGCACACTATTTTTTGTTTGTTTGCTTTTTCTTGGTGACATTTCGAAATCTCATCTGTTGCACATTGCCCTCCTAATCTTCTTTAACATGTTTGCTAGTCTGATCATGCCCTCTCGTTCCCCGGGCTTCCTGTTGTTGTTTGACTTCCACCGTGGCAACAGCCAGAGCCGCCCTGAAAAGAAACATACACAGACATACATGTATATTCATGGCTACACCTGCAGTTCAGCATCTACCTCATTAATATCAATATGCTGTGCAATATGCACAGAATGGTTGTGTTTAAAGGCAGGATCTCTCTGAAATCTAAACATCTTGTTTTTGCTGTAGCTTTATATACATGAATCACTTCTTATAGATTCATATCTTCAACATCAGATGTTAGTGTAAACAAATGCAGTATACCTACTGATACTTAAACAAACATCCTCTATTTACAAAGCCAGCAAAATGTCAAAGAGAGCATTTACTGTCACCTGTCGCCTTCCTTCTAGCTAGCCTCTTTTTCATTGTGATCTCCAAAGTAAATTCTACATCCCTAGTGTTTTATTATAAAATGCCTTATCAAAGCAAACCATTCTTGTCATTGCTTGTTGCCAAGAGTTTAATTGCTTTTAACTCTGGATGTTTGCTGAATTCAATATACAGCTTTGCGAGCTGAACGCATAATTACCATGAGCTAACAGGCAGAGTATATCACAGAGAGAGAGGGAAACAAGATCTTCAAGACATCCTTTATCTGTACAGTTTGTAGCACAGCAAAAGAAATCCACCAGTCAGGTCAGCCTTGACAGATTTTATTTACATATCCCATAATTACAAATTTACACACAGCACCCACTATTTCAGACAAGAAAAAAAATCGCCAGAAAAAAAATCCCCCCCCAAAAAAATAGTTTTGAAGTTTATGCTCTTAATTCCAGTCTGTTCAAACAATTTGTCAAGTGTGTGCGGCCAAAAACAAGTTTTGTCTGTACAGAAGACAAGAACAAGACGGTCGAAAATTACAACGAATGTGAAAATATAAGGATCAGGTTGGTTTGGCTGATACAGCTGGTAACAATGTAGTGTAGTCACCATCAGGACCCCCACCTTCAGTCCCCAGTGTGACCCAGGATGTGCTATTCAAACTGCAGCTAATGTTGACTGCCCCCATCACCCCGCCCACCACCCCCATGGTGCAGAAATACCACCCGTGCGTGTTCCTGATGCACCATGGGCGTCAAGGTTTAATGACTGGTATTCTGATGATATGTGATAAGTGCTCTCCCCAATGCTCCCTGTTAATAGCCACCCCAGAATCAGGCTCTAAGTCCGTCGCTTGGTGGGAGAGGGTGGGGGTCTGAACACTGTCTGTAGTTTGTCAACAAGCAAAGTCCTAAACTGAGGCAGTCATGTGGTTGGTGCTGATTACTGAACATTCAACACCAGCTGTTAAGTTGTAGCCTGTCATTTAACATCGCTGACATAACCACAGAAAGATGCTGTTCATTTCTCTTTGATTGGGAGGATTCTGTGGCTCACCACTCTCATCTATTTTTGTACTTGTCCACCCATAAGCTTATGTTCTGTGCGCATTCGTTTGCTTTAGGAGCCGTTTCATATTTGCATGATATTCTTAGTGCTTCTGTTTATTCCACTCATAGATTTGTTTCCTGCTGTGATTTACAGTTGAAATTCCTGTGGCTGGCAACATGTTGGGCAAATTACATTATAAACAGCTTGTTGGCTCTCCAGAGCACAGTCATGGTACCTCATATCATGCCTGCTACTCTCTGTTCATTCAGTAAACACAGCTTCACTTCCTACACTTGGTCTGTTTTACATAGGATGAATGGGACATTTAGGATTTGTCTCCACATGGAAATGTATCTCACAAATTACTCCCTAATGATCTCATTATACAAAAACTAGTTAAATAAAACAGAAATGTGTTGTTTTTTTATGTCATTTTATTAAATTGAGGCCACAAAATGTTTTTTTCTGAGTACTACACAAAACTATTTAGAAAAGAGAGAGTTTTAATAATGTGGGATGATTACAGTGGCTTATATAAAAGCAAAAAGCAGCATGAAACAAAGCTGCTACTGCAGAGTCATGCTCTGAATTACAGTATGTAATAAATGTTACATAATGTAGACAAAGACAGATGGGTAGAAAAACTGAAGTAGATAAATGGACAAAAAGAGAAAAAAGCAGATACTGTGTATTTTCTGTGGAGAACAGGATTAGGGAAGCATTCACAACATTTCATCCTTCAGAAAGGGATTTCTACAGTATTTTGTAACCAGGCTTATATATGGAAACATACAGCCAAATGACATGGGTCTATATTGTATTCTGATGGGCCATGCACATGTATATTTTAGCTGGAATAATGAAAAAGTTTACACATAACTAACAGGAGGGCTGTTGTTTACCTATTTAACTTAATTTGTGGTATAGATGATGGCTGATGTGTGAATTGTTGATGACGTTTTTTTCTGATGTAGTTGATTTTTTTTTTTCTCCCTGTGTGTCCTTCAGGTCCAGTTGTCCAGCGCCAAAATGGGCCGTCCTCAGAGGAAAGTGAGGCACAGAGGAGGTAGGATATCTAACAACTGTATACCAGAGCATATATGAAGCTATCTCTGCAGAGAAAGTCAAAACACAAAATAGAGAAATCTAATTATAATATAATCTAAAATATTCTGACCCTCTTATGTTTGTTGCTGGGAAGGACAAAAATATATACAAAAACCCCTGAATACAACAACACCTTTAACTATGACCTCAATAATAAACACATAATTGAATTTATACATTTATGACAATTTCATCAAACTGAAACATTTTGAGATGTTAAGGCAGAAGTGTTGCACTGAATTGCATACAGTTGTGCAGGTGTGACTGTTAATGTGGCTGGGCAGTGTAGTTTCTGCATGGAGATTGCTGAAAATACTATTAATATTGAAAATGACTGGCCTTATCTTTCAAAACAGATTTGGTGGTGTGTATTTATGGGCAGTACATGGTTGACTCAAAATATTCTTATGGAACATCATAATGAATGCACATGTTATCTACTACAAACATGGAAATGATTTATGTGTTTTTTATTTTTTTTTGACAACAATGGAGGCCAGTGAGACAGAGGACAAAACCATGTCAGGCTCTGGTTATACACAGAAAGCTTCACTGCTGCTTTTGGCCTTTTCTTTGAAGGACATTTTTTTCTTGTGCTGCTTCTTATTCACTAGCACTATAATCCAATAAAAAAAACTTTATTTTTATGACACTGCAGCCCTCAGAGTTTTTATTTAAGCACTGTTGATATTGTTATAAACAGAGGCATGATAAAACTCAACATTATGGAAAGTTTTATGAAGACACACTGATTAAATGCAGATTTTAAGAGTAGTGACATCCTTGCGCTTCACAGGATGATGGAGCAACATCAGATGCAGGCCCACAACGAGAGGGAGCGGAGAACGTCAGGATCAGGTGAGGTTTAAGCAAACACACCTACGCCCATTTAATAAAATATGTGCATTCTCTCTTGCTACTCTGAAGAGCCAAAATCAATTGACGGGCATATGCTCCAGATCACACATAATAGATAAAACAGTTAACAAAAATCATTGCGACACCATCCTTCAGTCAATAAAAAACACTTTGCTAGGTACACTCTTTTACACAAATCAAATACATGTCTTTTCAGGACAGAGTTTTTTTTTTTTTTTTTTTTTTTTTAAATGAAGGACATTATCAGTGTTGGTTCAGGTAAAGTAAGCTTTACTTCCTGAAAGCAAACGGCTGCTTTAATGTTTACCTGGGAGGAAAGAGGCTTCCTCGGTGTGATTTATATTGTTTTCTGCTATAATTCCAACCACCACTCCCCAGTCTGTGTGCCCTCATGCTTTTTTTATCCATGCACACATATAAATGTTCAAGTCTGCCCCTTAAATACACATACAGACTTAAACATCCTCCTTTGTTCCTGCGGTCATTGGCAATATCAGCACCCCCTGTCCCTGCAACATGCTGCCATCTCTTTCTTCCAGCTCCTGTTGGGGGAAATGCCATATGCTTTCTGATCATGGCTCAGTCATGTTGCATTCTGCTGCTTGTTCTTTTTATAATGTTTTGAATCATTCTTATTTGCTATTGGCTTCCGTTTTTGGATTGGTCCTGATTTTCTCATTTTTACTTGCTTGGTTGCACAGTTGGTCGCTTTTCATTCTTCTCACGTTTTTCTCTTTTCTGTTTTCTTTTGTTTGTTGCCCTCCTTCGTCCTCCTCTTCGTCTGCATCTTCTTTTCCTCTCTTTCCTCTCTCTGTCTCTCTCTCTCTCTCTCTGCCCATCACAGTCGTTTCCACTCTTCAATATAAAGTCTCCACCCCTCCCACCCACCCAGACACTCCTACTGAGTACAGACAGTACAGAGCTAGCACACTGCCACACTCCTACGTCCGTGTGGCCTCCTCCTCTCCTCCCTCCTCCGCCTCTTCCTCTCCTTCTCAGGAGAAGGAGAGAGGGGCTGCTAGGGACAGGGCCCAGCTTTCCTCCCAACTCTCCACCTCGATTGCCTCAGCCTTTTCCCCAGTCCAGTCAGGAGTGACCACCCAGGGCCGACAGGTCCGTCAGATTTCCCTGTCTCCTCCCCCAACAGTTCGCCACCAACAACAGCAGCAGCAACAAGACTTCATGCTCCCCCCTAAACACAGCACATGGTCTGCCTCTCAATTGCAGCAAATATACGCCCAGTTGCCCCCCTCCTCCTCCCCTCCAATTATGATGGCTATGTCTGTGAAGCAGAGTTTGCCCCCACAGCCTGTCCTCCCAGTGGCTCACCCACTCCCACCCATGAGCACTAGGATGAAGCCCCCGCCTCTTGACCAGAGTGCTGTGATGGGCCCTCACCAGTACTCACAGCATCAGCCCCACCCTCACTCCAGCGACCAGCCAGACGACTCCTACTCTCCTCATTCTCAGCCACTGCCACCCACCTCGCAGTACTGCGAGGCTGTTCCCTTGCTTCCTCTGATAGGTCAGACAGCGCCAGGTCCCGCCCCCAACCACCAGCCCTCATACCCATCCACCTTCCACCCTCAGCAGCAGCAGCAACTACAACAACAACAGGTGTACCACCAGCAGACCCAGCCCCCGACCACCACCACCATCACCACCTCCTCCTCCTCATCCCCCTCTTACACTGCCATGTCTGATGGGGGCTCACCCAAGAAGATCCCCTCCCCTGACCCTCAGCAGGCCCCCATGGCCAGCAGCAGTAAGTATGAGGAGGAGACAGGAGGAGGTGGTCTCTCAGCAGAAGGATGTTACATGTGTGTAGTATATAGTATCACATGTGTGTGTGTGTGTGTGTGTGTGTGTGTGTGTGTGTGTGTGTGTAAGGTGGGTCAGGTGCAACAGAGTGTAGCTCCACTCTAGTGTAATGCATCCTTATTATTACACCAGAATATGAAACTGAATGTCATAGGAAGACTGTACATCAGCCCTTAAAGCCCCTACACACCCACAGTCACTTATTGTCTGATCATACCTCTTGTCTGGACTGTGAGGGTGTGTGAATATTGTCTCACCTATTCTGGTGAGATAACTGTTATCAATGTTGTTATGTCAGCTGTCTTTTTTGACATCAAATAACTTCAGCCTGCTTTAACCTGATTAAAAGTCCAATCAGTCAGAGTAGTCAAAAACACTTTTGTGGGTGTGCAGAACCTATGAATAAACTGTAGAAGTCACTGACATTCCAAGTCTCTTATAAGCACCGTCATTTCCCTCACTTGCATCTTGTCCTTGCCTCTTAGTCCCACCCACATAAGATGCAAAGAAAAAATGCAAGGGAAACATGAGGAAAGAGGACTCAAGGAAACACATTATTAATGACATGGGTTGTCCTTTCCTCCTCCATCCTTCATCTGAAGCATCCAATTACCAACTGATTTCTGATAAAAAAAGGTGTGTCAGTCCATAAAAGACTTCCATGAAGGTCATGGCTTCTCCAGAAACCTCCATGCTCCTCACAGCTGACATAATAGACTTGGAACGTCCAAGCAGAGTCCTGCACAGGTACAGTTTTGAAAACCCGCACCCGAAAAGTTCCATATTGGACCTTACCCATTACCCATAATAAAGACACTTTAAGCTACACAATTGCTTAATTTATAGTGCTTGGGAGTTGTGTTCTTGGAAAAGTATCTGTCAGTTGTTACATCACCTGGGCTCTGCAGCTATTCTCTTAGTACAGTGCCTTGCGAAAGTATTCGGCCCCCTTGAACTTTGAGACCTTTTGCCACATTTCAGGCTTCAAACATAAAGATATAAAACTGTAATTTTTTGTGAAGAATCAACAACAAGTGGGACACAATCATGAAGTGGAACGAAATTTATTGGATATTTCAAACTTTTTTAACAAATAAAAAACTGAAAAATTGGGCGTGCAAAATTATTCAGCCCCTTTACTTTCAGTGCAGCAAACTCTCTCCAGAAGTTCAGTGAGGATCTCTGAATGATCCAATGTTGACCTAAATGACTAATGATGATAAATAGAATCCACCTGTGTGTAATCAAGTCTCCGTATAAATGCACCTGCACTGTGATAGTCTCAGAGGTCCGTTTAAAGCGCAGAGAGCATCATGAAGAACAAGGAACACACCAGGCAGGTCCGCGATACTGTTGTAGAGAACTTTACAGCTGGATTTGGATACAAAAAGATTTTCCAAGCTTTAAACATCCCAAGGAGCACTGTGCAAGCGATAATATTGAAATGGAAGGAGTATCTGACCACTGCAAATCTACCAAGACCTGGCCGTCCCTCTAAACTTTCAGCTCATACAAGGAGAAGACTGATCAGAGATGCAGCCAAGCGGCCCATGATCACTCTGGATGAACTGCAGAGATCTACAGCTGAGGTGGGAGACTCTGTCCATAGGACAACAATCAGTCGTATACTGCACAAATCTGGCCTTTATGGAAGAGTGGCAAGAAGAAAGCCATTTCTTAAAGATATCCATAAAAAGTGTTGTTTAAAGTTTGCCACAAGCCACCTGGGAGACACACCAAACATGTGGAAGAAGGTGCTCTGGTCAGATGAAACCAAAATCGAACTTTTTGGCAACAATGCAAAATGTTATGTTTGGCGTAAAAGCAACACAGCTCATCACCCTGAACACACCATCCCCACTGTCAAACATGGTGGTGGCAGCATCATGGTTTGGGCCTGCTTTTCTTCAGCAGGGACAGGGAAGATGGTTCAAATTGATGGGAAGATGGATGGAGCCAAATACAGGACCATTTTGGAAGGAAACCTGATGGAGTCTGCAAAAGACCTGAGACTGGGACGGAGATTTGTCTTCCAACAAGACAATGATCCAAAACATAAAGCAAAATCTACAATGGAATGGTTCACAAATAAACATATCCAGGTGTTAGAATGGCCAAGTCAAAGTCCAGACCTGAATCCAATCGAGAATCTGTGGGAAGAACTGAAAACTGCTGTTCACAAACGCTCTCTATCCAACCTCACTGAGCTCGAGCTGTTTTGCAAGGCGGAATGGGCAAAAATTTCAGTCTCTTGATGTGCAAAACTGATAGAGACATACCCCAAGTGACTTACAGCTGTAATCGCAGCAAAAGGTGGCGCTACAAAGTATTAACTTAAGGGGGCTGAATAATTTTGCACGCCCAATTTTTCAGTTTTTTATTTGTTAAAAACGTTTGAAATATCCAATAAATTTCGTTCCACTTCATGATTGTGTCCCACTTGTTGTTGATTCTTCACAAAAAATTACAGTTTTATATCTTTATGTTTGAAGCCTGAAATGTGGCAAAAGGTTGCAAAGTTCAAGGGGGCCGAATACTTTCGCAAGGCACTGTAAGTGCCAAGCTTGCAGTTATCAAATACTAACACCGTTTTGGCACTATTTACACGCAGCAAAGCCACAAGATAAGGGGTCAACGGTTGTGCCATAGACTTTCACAGTAAATGTACTGGTTATTTAGGCTTGATAAATTATGCTGTATTAGATGTTTAAAAGACCTTTTTTTTAATTTTTTATTTAAACCATGCTTATTTCACTACCTGCCCGCATCTAGTGTTTTTTACTTGTGCCCATACCTGTGAATTAATAGAAACATTTTATATCTGTTGTACATCATTTTTTGTGGGTACCCGACCTGGTGTAGGACTCAGTGTCTAAGTCTGTCAAGGGGAGGAATGCACGTATAAGAGACTTGGGATGTACCCTTATATCTCCAACTTTAGCACAAGTTTATATTGGCTTGTATAAATACTTAATGTCCTCCAAAATTAGGGATTACATGGAAAAAGAATACAGAGGCAACATCACAAAATGGGTTATTCTGAATGCACACTTCTCACATTATAACATGAAATATTCTGACTGACTTTCAGGCAACTTTAGCTTTTCCATTTCTTGATTATGTTCCTCTTGATGGTGTATTCAGCAGTTTTTTTTTAACAGTTTTATTTGGCCTTTGCTCTCATTTTCACAAACCTTTGCAAACATAGTGAAAAGGATTATATACAGGCTTAAGCAGCTGGTTGCTTCAAGCTGTCTCAGGTATTTGAGTTTCCGCACATACATTTATTGAACCACAGAGGTGTACTTTTGAAAAATGCTACCTAATGACCATTGAATGATATGGTAGCAAATAATGTAGAAATACCTTATATAGAAAATGTACTAACAGCAAATATCTTACATAAATGGATGTTATTTTGTTTTTCATTCAAAAACGAAAGAAAGAAGTGGCTGCCAGTAACTTTATAAAATAATACATTTTAACCAGTTTGCCAACTGTTTATCAGTTTAGCAAACAATCAATATTACTCTCGCCATGAAATCTTCTAATGTGCTGCCCAGTGCCAAGCTGCCGTCCACTGACTGTTTAGTGTTGGTGGCACAGTGAGAAATTGTTTTTTATCACTCCTGAGATGTTCAATAAGCGACGAATAGGTCAATAAAATGAACAGCTAAAAACTGATATCTAATTTTGCTCCTCTCAGGCACCCCTGTCTCTGCAGGTCACCCAGCTATGCTTTCTGTGGCGCCTCCTCCGGCTGCAGCTCCAC